TCTATCTATCTATCTATCTATCTATCTATCTATCTATCTATCTATCTATCTATCTATCTATCTATCTTAAATTTATTTCCCAAAAGAGGTCTTCCTTTAAAGGAAGCAGACTTATAAACTAATTTTCTACCCCTGTTCATAAAGCATGGTTCACATTTAACCACGCCTTAACCAGTAAATTGTGGTTAAGCAAAGCAGGATGTAGCCGAGTGGGTGAATTGTGCCTGTGTGTTTGGGCCCAGGGGGAGGATATGTATGCCCAAAAGTCCGTACCTGGTCATTAATGGGACACACCACTAAGTTTTGTTCTTCGCTCGAGCGAGCGACCCGGATATATTTCAACCAGTTCCCGTTGGATGTGAGGTTTCCATCCATGCAGAACTTGCTGAGGTCCTCGCCAATCTGCAAGAGAGGATCGAGGGAGGTTGAGACGAAAGCAATCCAGAAAGAAGGGATTGTGGCAGGATAGAAAGACGGGGGGCGGGGAGAGAGAGAGAGGAAGAGGAGGAGGAGGAGGAGGAGGAGGAGGAGGAGGAGGAGGAGGAGGAGAGATAATGAATTAAATTGTCCAGGAAGGTCCATGGCAGGAACATCACAAATTTCTGTCCATCCAACGAACCTAGGAGGACCTAAGACCTCAAGATCTTCTATGGAGCATCTCACCAACCCCATCCAAGGTGAGACCGCAGGCTGGGAGAAAACCAAGAGGCTTTGCTCGACCTCCCCTCCCAAACGAGAGCCCTCCCCTCCCCGTGCTCGTTCCTGCACTCGGGAAAGGTCACCGGTGTCACCAAAAGCAGTGATTGATCAGGGGGGCGGACTAGATGACCTCCAAAGTCCCTTACGACCTCAATATTCTACTATACTTCTAAGCCTGGGCTTGGCAGGGCCCAAGGGATCATCCCAAAACTATACGCCAACTACAAGAGAAACCAGGGTTATTATGTTCGAGTTAGGGCAGCCATATTAAATCTATTTAATACAGCGGCACTCGGCATAAATCAGTTCCGGGGGGCGCGAGGAGTAGCAAAAATGAGGAGTAGCCAAAATGAGGAGTAGCAAACACATTTTTCCCCCTAAGGAATAACGTCTTGAGACAAAAGGCAGCTGCAACCGACAATTCTAGCTGGTGCGTCGAGTACCGAACGAAAGACGAGTACCGGGTCAAAAGGTTCGCATCAAAATGCGTTGAGTACCAGATTCTGGGAATCTCTGTTCTTTTTTTATTTATTTATTTATTTATTATTAATGGCACATTAAAATATTGGACGCAGCGCGACCGTCCTGGCATTATCTTTGCCATACATACTAAGGTATGAAATAAGTAACTTATATGCATTGCTACTTTTATACAATTATCCTATCCGGTATATACATTTATCAAGGCAGCACGATCTCTTCTGTCTTGCTACTTTTTGAGATTCGGGGAATTTCAAAGCAGTTGCGGCCCAAGAAAACCAGTCAATCCCTAACGCCGACAGTGCAAATGCCAAAATTTCCCATCTTTTTTTGAAGTTCCTCTTTTATTTTCAACCAAGCAGGGTGTGTGTGTGTGTCTGTGTGTCTGTGTGTGTCCCCTCCTTTTCCATTTCTGCCTTTGCAAACTTTCGCATGCCTCTCTGCCTTCACCTCCCTTTATTAGCAGTTTATTAGCCTAAAAACTGAAATGTAAACTCTCTTTTTTTCTTTTTCTTTCCGTGCTTGGAAAAGTGGTTTTTTGTTTTCCCTAGGCAGAGACAATCACTTCCTAATTTCCCCCCACCCCCTCTCCCCATTTGCTTCTAAAATGGGGTTTGGGGGCATGTCCAAATTCGCTGGAGGAAACGGGGAATTTTAGCCCTCAGAATCATATCAAGGGAAGCTTCCCGCCCTCCCGAGGTCATCCAATCCACCCCCCGCCGTTCCCCGTCCCTCTCAGGAGAGGAATCCAGATGAGGGCATTATACAGCCAAGACGCCCCCAACCCTTTTTAAAGAAATTTGGTTCACTGTTCCCTATCTTACTTTTTAGGAGATGATTATTATTTTTTTCCAAATTTTTAATATTCAAGTTTGTCCCTTGCCAGGATAAAACGGGTAGCAGGATAAAAACAGTCAGGGGTTTCCTGTTGATTGAAAGAGAATAACGAGGAGTTTATTTATTTCACGCAAACCTTGCCAGCCGTGGAGGCGAAATGCAAAGGGAGAAATTGCCCCCCCCCCCGCGCCAAAAAACCCCCCCCCCCCCTCTAAAAAGACAGCCACTATCCACAGAGTAGTGTGTGTCTTGTGGCTGTTGCTGTTGCAACAACTTGCTCGGTTTCTGGGGAGCAGATGTTATCAGAAAGCAGATGTTGGCTGCAGGTTGACTTCTCCTTCTCCGCCGGCTGGCTAGGAAACCTTCCCATCTGGGCTTTTGGCCTCCATAAATTTTTATAGCTTTCCGAGGATACATCAGTCATAGGTTTTATGAGGCTTCGCAGCTCCGCTCAGGCCGATACAAAAATACCCAGGGGTTGGTGGGCTCCCCCTGCCCCCCT